CATACTGAAGGATGCAGGAAGCATCAAAAGAAGCCGGAAGTAATACATAGAGTCACTGCACCAAAAAAAAATGGTGGATGTTCAGTCATTTCAGAAGGGTAAGTACGCTCAAAAATTGAATTGTATTGAAGGAAGAAGTACAAGCTGCACTACAGGCACTGATGATAAACAAAGCTACAGGAATTGGTGGAATACCAAATGAGATATTTCACCATCTGAAGCAATGCTGAAAGCAATTGCATTGTATGTCAAGGAAATTGGAAGAAAGCTACTTAACCAATGACTGGAAGAGATCTGTTTGCACCCATTCCAAAGAATACAGATCAAACAGAATCATTGAAGAATACCTTTAATGTCACGCTCAAGTAAAGTTTTGCTGAAGATAAGTAAAAAATGATTCCAACAGTATATTAACAGGGAAAATCCATAAATTCAAGTCTGGTTCAGAATAGGACATGGAATGAGGGCTATCATGGCTAATTTCAGAGAGTGAGTGAAAGCAGAAAATACTAGAAAGATGTGTTCCTGCATTTTATTGACTACGTGATAGCATTCAACAGTGTGGATCATCCCAACTTTTGGATAACACTGTAAAAAAATGGGAATTCCAGAACACTTGGCTCATGCAGAACCTGTACAGAGACCAAGAGTCTGTCAAACAGAACAGAACAAAGGAATTGCTGTTGTTGTTGTTAAGCACCATCAAGTTGGTTCTGATTCATAATGACCCTGTGTAGGATTTCCAAATAGCAGCTGATGATATGAACCACTGACCTTGTGGTTAGCAGTCCAAAGCTTATCTTACAGCACCACACAACAGAACAAAGGAATACTGCATGATTTAAAGTTAGAAAAAGCATGCATCAGGGCTGTATCCTTTCACTATACTTGTTCAATCTGTGAGTTCTGGTGTGGCACTGTAGGATAGGCATTGGACTGGAACTGCAAAGTCATTAGTTCAAACCCACCAGTCAGCCACAGAAATCCTATACAGGGTTGCTATGAGTCAGACCTGGCTCTAAGACACACAACAACAATGACAACAACTCAATCTGTATGCTAAGTAAACAGATAATCTGAGAAGCTGTACTGTATAAAAAGGAATGCAACAACAGGCCTGGGGAAAGACTCATTAACAAGTTGCAACAAGGTTGGTCTGAACCGCATGGTCAGCAGTTCAAACTCACCAGCTACTCTTCGGAAACCACATACAGTGTTGCTATAAATTGGAATTGACTCAACAGCACTTAACAAAAATAACAACAGCATTCAGATTACACACCTTGCTTGCTGAAGGTTGGGAGGAACTGAAGCATTTACTGATAAAGATTGCCTTTTGTTTGGATATTACCTTGAAATCAAGAAAACAAAAATTTTCAGAGCTGAACCATTAAAAATAATATCGTGATAAACAGATTGAAGTTGATAAGAATTTCAGTTTGCTTGAATACCTAATCAATGCCCATAACAGCAGCAGTGAAACAACTAAACAATTTATCGCACTGGGTAAATCTACTACAAATGATCTCTTGAAAGTGTGTGATGCTGCGGGTTAATGCGCTGGACTACAGGCTTGATTTGATCATCAAGGTCAGTGGGTCAAGCTCACCAGACACTCCTTAGGAACCCTATACAGGATTGCTATGGGTCGGAACCGACTTGAAGATACTTAATGACAACAACAAAGTGTTAAAACCAGAGATGTCACTTTGAGGATTAAGATGTGCCTGACCCAAACCATAGGATTTTCATGTGCATATAAATCTGGGGCAAAAAAAAATTAAGAAAGACACGAGAACAATTGATGTCTTTGAAATATGATGTTGGCGAAGAAAATGGAAAGTACCATAAATTGCCAGAAGAAGGGAAAAAATCTGTGTTAGAAGCCAGAATCTTTTAAGACTCAAAGTGTTTCCTGGAGTCAGTAGAGTTTGTGTCTCATACTTTGGGGAGTAGTCCCTGGAGAAGCCCCTCATGCTTGGTAAATAGAGGGGTCATCAAAAGAAAGAAAACCTCAATGACACAGTGTGGCTGGAAGTCTGGACTTAAATGTAGCCACAGTTGTGAGGCTGGCAGAAGACGTGGCAGTGTTCTGTTCTGTTCTAACGAGGACCACTCTGAGTCAGAACTGCCTTGAAGGCGCCTAAAAACACCAGCATAATTAGCAGATTGTCATCAATGGTTGCATTCCCCTCCCCCCCTGTAATTCTTATCTCCCAAATGAAATAATTAATCTTGGAATCTGTATGATTCTCTCTCTCTCTCTTTGTAACACATCTTTGAGATATAAATTATCCTTTGAACACCTAATGATTGCTTCAAAAGAACAGAAATTTTCATAATAATTCATGTTTCTAATTTAAGTGACCCATCCATCTTATCAGCAGAGTTAGTGTGCTTTGCTGGTGTGTGGCTTTTAATAAGTTGCCTATTCTCTTAGGACCTTTATGTTGTTGTTGTTAAGTGCCATCGAGTCGGGTCCGACCCATAGCGACCCTGTACAGGGTTTCCGAGGGTGTAAATCTTTACGGGAGTAGAAAGCCTCATCTTTCTCCCGCGGAGCGGCTGGTAGTTTCGAACTGCTGACCTTAAGGTTCGCAGCCCGATTCGTAACCACTACGCTACCAGAGCTCCTTAGACCTTTATAGCCACCTTGAAAAAGATACACTCATGGTGAAATGTCACATTAGTAAGCAAAGGTCAGATAAATCTAAAGTAAGCCATGAGTCCCTAAATAGACACCAGCTAGTTTTGCAAAAGTAATATGCTTTTTTTTAATTAAAAAGTATATAATGCTGCTACATATATTGTTCATTTCATATTTATGAAAACATTGAAAAAATTTTTAGGCAGCACTTTGGATACTGGGGGTCTATGAGGGATTATGGCTGAAACTGGGGTGCTCTCTGCAGGCCTCCCTGAATTACATACCCAGAGACCCTAGTGACAACGGGGCCACATGAGAAATGGATGCTGGCCAGCCTTGGGACACCTTCTCCTATTCTTCTCTGACATCTTGGTCGTGCTACATTTGGCACAGGGCAAGAGAAGGGTGATTCAAAGTCACCGGATACAGAGGTGCCAGGGAAGTTAGTGGAGGAAGGCAGAAAGCAAGGATGAGAGAAGGGAATAGAGTAGCACAACCGCACAGCACCCCCAACACATGAGGGCTCAGCAGTGATGAAAAATACATGGTGGGGAAGCAGGGTACACTGAGACATGTCAGAACACTTGATGGGTACTAAGAAATGGGACACCATAGGTGTTTAACACAAACAGAACATGGCCCCCAATTCTTGTATAATGCTGATTTCACAGAATGACCTGGTCTTTGGAAGCTAATCATGTGGATCAATGAGTAGTATGTTAGTCTTATCTATATGCCCTAACTGTTATCATTAAGACTTTGGCTTGAATTAAATTCTATTAAAGAAGTACAAAGTGACTGGATTACAAGTTTTCAAGATGAAGTTTAGTTTCAGAGTAGGCGGGAGAAGGTAGAATCCCCACTGAAAAGTATTCATCTTGTCTAGATGGGTCTGGTAAACAGAGAAGGGGATAAGATTCTTCTGATTCAACAGTGAGTAACTGTTACCACGACTAATTGCGACTGTCACAACTGTAAAGGTAAAAGTGTTGTAACAAAAAGGGGAGTAGTTAATCTTACAGTCCAGGAACAGAGCACCCTAGGGCCATCAAGAGAGAAGAGCATGAGTGGAGTGTGGGACCCTATCCAGAGAAGCAGTGACACCAGAGATGGAGGCAGAGATGAGGGCATGGAGATAGGGAGCAGCTAAGGATCCTAGACTCATGGATAGAGAAAGGCTGTGTGCTGGTGGCCAGGTGCTGACAGCCAGGAGACAGGCTTGCAGAATGTGCCCTTTGGTTGTTTAAATTATTATATATTCCTGAGTATACATCCCTCCAAAAACCAGAAATATAAACAGATGGGATAGAAGCAAATATTGTTGAATGATGATCCACAGAGATTGTAATCATTGCAATGAAATGATGGTGTAAAGCTGATGTTCTCCCATGTAAACTATCCAATTCACAATAAAAACCTTAAAAAAATTATAATAAAGGAATTAGAAAAGTTACCTGTTGTAAGTACTTTGAATATATTGTTACTGTGTAAGTACTTTGAATATATTGTTACTGTGTAAGGACTTTGAATATATTGTTACTGTGTAAGGACTTTGAATATATTGTTACTGTGTAAGGACTTTGAATATATTGTTGTTGTTATTAAGTTTTGTTAAGTGCTGTACAGG